GGCTGATTACCGCCGCCATCTTGGTCTATATAAAGTGAATTACCGGTCCGCTGTTTGGTGGTTGATGGAGGGGGGACCGAATGTCGGACAGATTTTCGAGTGGTTATTGTTGGAAAAAACCAGCTGTCGACTCGTTGTTTTTTACCCGCTACGTTCAAATGTTCCGAGGAACAATGGAAAAAGAGAATGGCGTGTCGCTAAAGTCTGACGATTTTCGATATTCAGTAGGCCATGTATTAACATAACATGCTACTTCTATTATTTCCCAATAATATTCAATCAGTCTATGTGAGACTTTTATATTTCGCTAAGTTTGTATGTTAATCCGATCCCAGACAAAGGATTTCTATGGATATTTTATTTTTTATGGTTGTTTTTTATCTATTAGATATGTGAACTCGGTTTTGCTCAAATTGGGTATTTGAATTGTTTCTTTTCTTTCATTTACTGAAGTGCTACACATACCAGATTTGTTTAACATCAAGCATTTTCTTGGACAATAAAGTATTGAGTGATTTTTTTGCTGGTATCTTTTTGGCACCACTGTTTTTGACAGATCACGCGTGAATCGTGTCTTATATCTTCGTCAAACTTGTTCAGTTTGGTCTATAATTCAACCATGAATCGACTTATGAATGAACAACGCTTGCAAATTATTGAATTTTATTATCAAAATTCATGCTCGGTGAAGAAAGTGCGTCGTGAACTTCTTCCAATTTATGGACAGTTTCGTCGGCCTACTGAGGGAGCTATTCGGAAGCTTGTAACTAAATTTCGAACCCAGTTTAGATCATTGGACATCAAACTACCAACACGCATACGTAGAGTGAGGACCGAAGAAGATATTGCGGCTGTATCCGCCAGTGTTCGTGATGACCGTGAAATGTCGATTCGCCGCCGTTCGCAGCAACTGGGCCTCTGTTACTCCACTACGTGGTTCACGTCCAATTCAGGCCGGAATATCACTAAATATGAATTATATATTTTTATTGCAAATTATTTGTTCAATCAGAACGGTTTTCTTGAAACAGTATTATTTGATTTTATCGATCGAATTCATCATTCATCATCTCTGGTATTTTCTTAGATCTGAGCAAGGCTTTTGATAGTGTGAGTCATTCCATTCTATTGCAAAAACTACTTCTTCATGGAATGAAAGGAAATGCCTTGGGCCTCTTGAAATCTTAATAACAGGAAGCAAAAAGTCTGCATCAGATTTTACTGAAATCGGAAAAGATGTTTCACACGGGAGCGTGTTGGGTCCTCTACTTTTCAACAGTGAGCTCGTGCGGCACTCACTTTGAACATAGCTTTCTCATAGTCAAATGCTCATGTAATATAAAGCCAACACGTTCTTTTGATATCTTCACAATGTCAGCTAACTCACGAAACTTCTTTTTTCGATCATTCAAAACGACTCTGTATCTTTTGTTTTCTGGTGTTAGTGACTCGTTTGGACGTCCACTGCGTAATGCATCATCGGTGTCTAAAAAGCGGTAGACTTTTTTGTTGGATTACAATTTCGATGATGACACTAATAGCTCAAACAGCTAATCAAAATAAGTGAATGTTAAACATAGGTTATGTTCATTGTTTTAGGTTTTTTGTATTTTGAGTTATTGAATAGTGAATTTGTGGGGGTAATCTTTTTACTGCGTTTGTTATAGTCATTAGAAACTCATGAATAGGTTAAATTAATCACTATCATTCACAAAAGCACAAGAAATCATAATATCTCGTGAAAACGACTGACGGGACTTTTGTTTTATCATCTGGCTTAGTTTCAATGGTTTCGGTAGATGTCGTATCTGAACGATAACTTCCCAGGGCTACCACTAGTCTAAAAAAATAATTGGAATCATGTATAAATGCCCATAAAATTCGACAATTTTGTTATAACTTTCAATTCTGCACATTTGAATTCATAAGGCAGTGTTTCGTATTTGACAATTGAAACATAATTCAGTTCATAGACGAAATCGGATAAAGAGTTTATTTTTTTCTCTGTATATTCGTCATTAGCTTCAGCTGTTATCTCTAGATAACGTTTGTAGGTATTGTCCATGTTTGCCGTCCAAAAGTCGTTTTTATTGTAGGTATTCATTTTCCCGTTCAAATCAATGAGGATTTTGTTTGCAGCTTATCTATTTTTTGTGAATTGGCAACTCTGTGTATTTGTCATTAATGTCAGTTGTCATATGTAGTTGAAGTTTATATTGTCCATTTTCAAGTGTTGCTGTTTTATTGCATTCGTTTTCCATTGGTATCTTCCATATAGAGTTGAAATAACGTAAAATGCGTGTACTCTAAATCTTGATATAACCAACGATTGTTACATACGTACACACATTGAGTGGAATAATTTGAATATGAAAGGTAGTAATTTTTCATTTTATTTCAAAGTTTCCAGTCATAAACAAGTATTAATCGTTATAGAACAGTGGACAAGTGTAGATGTGATAAAATGGTTCAGTATTTTATTTCGTAGTGGTGATCCATTGAAAATGAGATATACAAAGTGTCCGCTACTGCTGCAACAAACATCTTCAGTGGTGTGAACGTTGACTGCTCGAAGTCTCAGCAACTACTGAAGATGTCTACCGCAGTTGCAGACGAAACGGTTGATCCTACAAGCCCGGATTCTCTTTTCTAATCGTGACTTCCACCGTGAAAGCCTATGTTCTCAAATTATTATACCTACAGGTTGCTGGATAAGGTTCATTCTGAAGAAATTGAACGTTTTGTATGGAAAAAATGGGAGAAGCAAGTGAATGAAGATTCGCGAGTGAAAACAGTTTTAGTTTACTGCAGGAAAGCGTTAGCGAGCAAAGTAAGGCAGTATGTCAACATGAACATTTTATGAACTGACACTAAAGAACTGAGGTTGTGGAAAAACATTTTTTTTGGGATTTGGGTACTGGAGAAGAGGAAACTTGTAATTCACCGCGATAGTGACCATCAAATTCTGTAACATCAACTGAACTAATTCGTTTCGAAAATGGCTCTTTCGTACCCCCCTTCCCTTCCTCCTCTGTAGCGACCCTCGAGCTCGCCTGGCCCTTTGCGTTTTGCCAATTAATCACAATTTAATTACAGTCAGAGCCATGATTAATTTAAAGCGCTTGGCACTCGTTGTGTATACGGTTTCAAGAGGTTCGCTGATAATTATTTAGAATTTAATGTTGTCAAGTGAAAAAGTCGATCGTTTGAATCTGCTTTTAAGGTTTTTCGGTCCAAGCTCAAGAAACTTAAAAAACGACACTAATCGAAAGTTCATTGTTCTTATGTATGAAACAACGTACACTAACGGATTAGATTGCATTATTTAAGAGAAATTGATATGTAAGTATATTAGTCAGACTAAACGAGCTTTCGAAACTAGTTTCAAAGAACACACAGTGTATATCCGATTTTAGAGACCAAAGAAGATTAGTGTCAATCAAAACGCCATGGAGAACGGCCATAGAATGAATAAACACTATCTATTATGAAATTATTGATATCAGTACATGGCATTGGCATTATGGATGCTTTCGCCAGCCTTTCTGCAGGAGGTTCCGTAATATTGAAAGACTGCACCAAACTCGGCACCACCATTGATAACACATCGTCAAATTGGGAATAAGATACACGGAAACTGTTGAAATAGTAGTCTAAACATAACCTATAATTTTTATTTAATAGTCGTAAAATGATTGAATACAACGCATTTTGTTTTTTAAGCGTGGTTGAATGGAAGGATAGCATTCTGCTACATTCCGCTACGTTTCAAAACTTTACTAACGCTAAGCCTTCTTTTACTTTGTATGGAAACTTTCTATAGTTTTCAGAGACGAAAATTTGAAAAAATTGGAAATAATTTCTTTCGGGTATCCATATCTGAAGCAAATGGAAATGGAAGATAACATATTACATTGTTCTGTGATTCTATGTAACTGAAAGTGTCAAAAACAAAAACGCTGCTTCACACATTGTTTTCAAATCTTCTTCTTTTCTCTCCACTATCAAGTTTACTCCCACAAAATAATATCCGGCAACGCTGCACGTCTATATCATGGATGAGAGGTTCACGAGTGGCGAGTGGTCAACTTCTTCCTCGGAAAAAGTAATTGATGTATATAAACAAACACTTTTACTGCTCCCATCCTACTTCAGGTCTACGTGCTTCGTGCTAATGAAAAACTTTGAGTGTTTGACTCTTCCTTTACTCTAGCTCGGTTAACTTGCCATACGTGTTTACAATTTTCAAGCAAGCCATTCTAGTTAATTCCGTAATTGTTCATGCAATCCCAATGAATATACTGAAATGTTATTACAGTCTAGTGAGTTTTGTTTGCAGCTACTTTTTTCGAATTAGACCGTGGGAATTACTTAGATTTTGAAGGGATATCCGTTGTTGCTTTATAATTTCGCATTTTCAACTTGTTCATGACCACTGACAGTCTTCTTCTTGCCGTTGTTTATGTTGGATTACAACTTCGATGATGACACTAACAGCTCAAACAGCTAATCAAAATAAGTGAATGTTAAACATAGGTTATGTTCATTCTTTTAGGTTTTTTGCATTTCGAGTTATTAAAGAGTGAATTTGTGGGAGTAATCTTTTTACTGCGTTTGTTATAGTCATTAGAAACTCATGAATAGGTTTAATTAATCACTATCATTCACAAAAACACAAGAAATCACAATATATCGTGAAAACGACTGACGGGACTTTTGTTTTACCATCTGGCTTAGTTCCAATGGTTTCGGTAGATGTCGTATCTGAACGATAACTTCCCAGGGCTACCACTAGTTTAAAAAAATAATTGGAATCATGTATAAATGCCCAAATATCGAGAACGCGAAGATAAAACTTTGTGCTTCGGTCTACTTTTGGAAACACGGCAACTGAAAAGTGCCGTGTATTTCAGGAAAATGATTTGACTTTTTGACGAATCTATCTATGAAGTAGAAAAGAACCGAATTCTACATTGTAAAGAATAAATATATGCACTTACTTGGGTGGGAGTCAGGTGTATTAAAGATGCTAAGTGTTCCCGTTCCGGTGCTGAGAGATACTTCTGCTGTTTAAATCTCCTCTCCAATTCATACACCTAGAGATAAAAAGTATAACTTAATCTCTGGATTCCAGTATAACACTCTCAAATTGAAATCATTACAACATACAACTACATTGGTTCAACATTCTTTATTCCATCACGAATTTATGGAATCTTCATTCTCTTGATATCTGTGGACCGATTTTGAATCGATGGAATTATTTCTTCAGAGAAAGTGACGTTATATTTTTCATAGATCTTCAGAGCTACCTACCTCTCTAAGAATTGACAGGTTGTTACAATATGACGTCATCATCTCCAGAGAAGTATTTCATAAACAAAATAGTAGATACTAGTGAATGAAAAAGTAGTTGTTCTCTGACTGCCACCTGGAAATCTTCGGGTACTATATAAGGCAAAACTGCGAATAGTAAGCAGTTCGAATGTTATTCAAATTGCTTACTATTCCCAATGTCCCAATGGAAAAGCCCACGAGAAACAAGACCAAAAATAGCAGGCCAAGTTCGATCTGGCACCGTTATACTTGAACAGGATAATTCTTTTCCTGAATTCATTTCTATGTGAAGTGAAACATCATTGGAAATCAACTTTGCTGAAGACTATGGAGTAATATAGTATTTTCCTCTGCAGTTCTGCATTTTGAAGTGTATTTTTATCATATTCTTTTTTTATAATTATGTGTGCTTGAAGAAAATTGAATTATATTATGGCAATATCATATGTTATTTTTATGTTATCTTATGTTGATTTTATTATTAAGTAGAAGGGGTGGAAGATAGCCGTAGGCTAACCCCCACTCTTTTGTGTTATTATTATTGAATGTCAAGGTTTTGTCCACTCTTTTCTGCGATTACCATGGCGTAGTGCTTGCCACATAGTCGTACGGTTAATGATGAGTATTATACGAGTATACCGGGTGTCCCAGAGCTTTTAGGCCAGCAGATATCTCAGTTACCTGCAGAACAAAAATTAAAACAAAAATATGTATCATAGGAGAACACTGCTGGTGGTCTTCTATGATATACATATTTTTTTTCAATTTTTTTCTGCAGGTGACTGAGATTTCTGCTGGCCTAAAAGCTCTGGGACACCCGGTAAGAAGCAACACGAAAAAAAATTCCTGTGAGAAAACAATTCATGGATTTTGCACCACGATAATGGACCTACCCACTAGTCATTGCTTATTCGCAATTTTTTGTCCAAAAACAACACCTCAGCCACTGTTTTTACCAGATTTGCCCCCCTGCAAGTTTTTCCGGTTCCCAAAATTTGAAGATACCCATGAAAGGATGTAGCTTGAGTAAGTATATAAAATATTATTCTTATAATATACATATTTGAATGTGAATATGCAACTCGGGTAGTGAAATGATCAGAAAACCAGGTAAGTAGTTAAAATCATTACAATTAGTTTCTGAAAGTTTTGAAAAAAAATCAGTTACTTCAAATTTGACTTGAACACAGATTTCTTCCAATGAAATCAAGTATCTATTTCAAAAAGAATCATCTGTAGGAAAAATAGAAAAATAACTACACTTTATAAATGTACTTATTGATAAGTTGGAATCATTTTATGGTTGTGAGAATATTGGTTATTAAAATGTTCATAAATCCTCGAATACCCATGATCCGGACAGATTTATTTTCTTATAAAATCAAGTTCGGGATAATATTTCAAGGCGGCGCCCAACGAGGGGCTTATATTTCAGTTAGGAAATTATTTCTTTAAATGATATCAACTTTTAATGTATACTTCCTAGCATTACTATTATTATGAAACAACTAAGAAGTGAATTATAGTGATGATAAAAAAAAATTGATATAATTACCCTCAATTACTATAATATAAAAACAGTCACCCCATTTCACCACCTACTCACTCAACAAATTTCAAAATCGGTCCTCACTATTCCAATCCTAACGTCAAAAAACGCGCCCGTCGCTTCGCGTCGCCTTCATTTATTTTCAACTCGCGCGGCCACCGCGAAGGAAAAAATCGGGTAGGCGTGTCGAGCACTCACCTGTGCCTGCGTGAAGAGGACCCGCCTCTTTCTGCGCTGCGCCAACGGAAACTGCATCGGTTTGGAATCTGAGACTGCGCAGGCGCCCAGCCCGGACATGCCCGCGTTCAAGCCGTGACCCATGTTGGCGGCCGAGGCCGTGCTGCCCATCAATCTGGAAACTGATTTATTTCGCCAGGTTAGGGGTTTTGTTTGTACAGGGGTGGTTCAGGGGTGGTGGAAATTTACGGTGTGATAATTTTATTCATAATTTGGGGAAAGATGATTGCAAAACACTAACAGGGTGCTCACTTTTTTGTATTTCGTTATGATGTGCCACAGCAAGTATATGCAGGTTTATAATACTTTACCGGGTCCGCTCTACTTTTGTATGGCAAACGGGTCGCGAACTGAAGATTTTATGATCATTTGGGTCGTTTTGTACCTGCAGTGGCGTACGTCTGTGTATTTTAATCAAAACTGCTTGTTGAAACTAATAAATATGTTTATTTATTCATATACAATTGATATTGTTGTAACATTTTATTAAAACATTTACGTAATAATAAAAAATTATATGCTTATTTGAGAAGATATTAGATACAAGCAAAAATTATGGTGTGTTATCATCAGAGAAATCCGATAAATCTTCGTCGAATGTAATGATTGGAGGTTCTACAATGAGCTCATTTCATGATTTTTGGTTTATAGTTGATAGAAATTTCGAATTGAAAAACATTCCACTTTGTTTCTTTTATCTAAGTACCCCTCTAAGTACTCTAATTGAGTTTTCCCGTAATAAATTATTGAAAATCGAATGTGGTAGGACTGTGACGTCACGGGCCTATTCCCACTTCTTGTTCGATTGACCAATAGGAACAATAGAAATAATCAACATTGCCAAATCGTAAAATTTAGGAAGCCTATAATTATCAATTTAATTATGGAAGTGTATATGAACCCGTTAACGTTTCAATTGATGAAAAATTCTCCACATGGAATAAAATGTACACGAAAAATCATATTTGGAAATAAGTTCTATATCTAACATCAGTACACAAATTCGAAAGATTTTACAATATTCACCTAAACTATGATTTTATGCATTATTCAATAATATACAGTTATGAAAATCAAAAAATATAGCAAACTGGAACAAAGAATCATTTCAAATATTCAATTTATTCTACAATCCCCAATCTGTACAACTGCAATTTATTATAAAAATAAACGATTCCTACATGCATACCTCTTTCCAATATTGCTACTAAATTCAAGCGTTATAGGCTCGCTTGAGTAATCTGTTGAATCTTCCAAAACTTGAGAGGAAGGTTGAATAAGGTCAAGTATAGACAGAATTGATTTTATTATATTAGACCATGAAAGTTCGAACTGATGAAAATGTTGTTATTGTGCTTATTTTTTGGAGACATTTCAGTTTCAACTAAATGAGTATTAAAAGTGTGTGATTCATTGATATAGTTTTTCTTTCTTCCTTTGGAGGTTCCCTACACTTTGTATTAATAGAGAACTAGAAAACCAAAAAGGTTTTTCAGTGATGGCCTCAGGAAGTTGCGAAGAGGACAACCGCCCAGGACTCGTGGGGGGACCCTACGTTGTGACTGCAGTAGGAATAAAGTTGATTTGTTTGATGACCTATTCATTTTGTGGAAATTCTCTCGCGATAATGGTTTAATAAACCGAAATCGGTCGTAACAAATAAAAATCTTAGTAGAAATTAGACAGAAGTTATTTTCGTTATCCTATAATTGATAAAGCTGATATTTAAAACTTTATTTTATTCGGAAGATGGAAGAGTTATAAATGATTTCTATAAAGTTCTTGGAAAAGTAGAAGGATTGTACTTATTTCTTTTCAATACTTAGTTACGATTAACAGCTGATTAACGGAAAAACAGATTTCAACAGATCAATTTTATTGGTCAAAAGACACGCGGCCAATTAGAATTCTTGCTTTTTGAATTGTTCTTTTTTCTGCAAATGTAAAGAGATTTTGGGACCGATTAGGCTTGATTATACTCATATACCCCTAACTCAGTCTATGAGCAAACCAGTATCATTTTCCATAACATGAAACAAGCTCTCCAAATCCTACTTTGCAATTGAGGTTTGAACTTCATGAGACTATTCGATCCAAGTTTATTATGCATTAGTACCTATACTCTGCATTATCATTTCACATCATGTTAGAATATGTAAATATTACCCAAAAACGAATTTTTATTTCATTAGTTCGGACTTCCATTGTCTAATATGTAAAATGATTTGAAACCCCCGAAACAACTGGAAAAGAAGAATTAAAAATAAATAGCTGGAAATAGCAATTATATTAAGCAAAAAAACCTGAAATGAAGTAATAGTAAAATGAAATACGAGTAAAAATAGAACAATTGAACAAAAATAAAAAATTAGGAGTCAAGTTACTTCACGACGTTCCGACTGTTGGTATCCACATTCGCCCCCGGGTGATGACTGGACTGATTCCTCCGAGAGATGACTATTACTTCCACTTTCTCCGCTTTCATTTTTCCGCTTCATCATCATCATCAAAAATAAGCTTCAACGGATCGCTCCAAACCGATGGTGGAACAGAGAGGAGCCTCGCAAGGAAGAGAAGTCGTCACAACCAGTGCACTTCCCTACATCAGAGGANTCCATTTTTGGCAACAAAAAGTTTGTTAGCATCGAACGATAGCGATCGCCATTCACCGTAACGTTGCGTCCAACAGCATCTTTGAAAAAATACGGTCCAATGATTCCACCAGCGTACAAACCACACCAAACAGTGCATTTTTCGGGATGCATGGGCAGTTCTTGAACGGCTTCTGGTTGCTCTTCACTCCAAATGCGGCAATTTTGCTTATTTACGTAGCCATTCAACCAGAAATGAGCCTCATCGCTGAACAAAATTTGTCGATAAAAAAGCGGATTTTCTGCCAACTTTTCTAGGGCCCATTCACTGAAAATTCGACGTTGTGGCAGATCATTCGGCTTCAGTTCTTGCAGGAGCTGTATTTTATACGGTTTTACACCAAGATCTTTGCGTAAAATCTTCCATGTGGTCGAATAACACAAACCCAATTGCTGCGAACGGCGACGAATCGACATTTCACGGTCTTCAGCAACACTCTCAGAAACAGACGCAATATTCTCTTCTGTACGCATTCGTGTGGTTGGTTTAATGTCCAATAAAGTAAACTGAGTGCGAAACTTGGTCACAATCGCTTTAATTGTTTGCTCACTTGGTCGATTATGTAGACCATAAATCGGGCGTAAAGCGCGAAACACATTTCGAACCGAACACTGATTTTGGTAATAAAATTCAATGATTTGCAAGCGTTGCTCGTTAGTAAGTCTATTCATGATGAAATGTCAAAGCATACTGAGCATCTTTCTCTTTGCACCATGTCTGAAATCCCGCGTGATCTGTCAAATACTAATGCATGAAAATCCTAACCTCAAAAAAATCACCCGTTATATACACAATTCTAAAATATAAAGTGAGGGTAAGGTTAATATCTCCATGTCTATGAATGCATTTCTGCAGGAGGTTCGAGAGCTCAAACCCAACATTGAACGTATAATACGTTTTTGTGCTATGAAAACACATATCGTAGTCTACTTTCTACCTGTGTATTATAGAGCTGCAACAACTGATCAGGATTCACAATTTCTTTTATATTCCTAAATTGAAAGGCAACTGTGTGGAGTTTGGAAACAAGATCCCCACAGTGAGGTTTCCAATTGAGATGGTTATCAAAATTTAATCCCAGAAATTTCGTTCTTGTGACATTAGTGGAGATCATAGGAAAACCAAATGAGATATATTCACAAGTTCTTTGCGGGATATGAAATCTAAGGCATTTTGTTTTATCAATATTCAGAAAAAGGCGATTTGCCGAGAACCAATTATTAACTGCGGATAAAGTTTCCTCACAGTTTTCCGTTATAGAACTTTCTCGGGTATTGGAAATTATAAGTGAGGTGTCATCTGCGTACATAGTGAAGGATGCTGGCATAGGGAGCTCATCAATGTCGTTGATGTAAATTATGAATAGAAAAGGGCCGAGTACTGACTCCTGTGGGACACCCAAGTCGTTTTTCAAGTACCCAGATGACTCATTCTCAATTGAGACATACTGCCATCTGTCACAAAGATATGACCGTATCCAATCCAGAGGTGTACCTCACACCATAGTGATAGAGTTTACCCAAAAGAATTCTGTGATTTACACAGTCAAATGCCCTGCTGAGATCACAAAAAATCCCAACAGGGCATTCGCCTGTCTCAATTCGTGTATGAGGTTGGTTTCTTCCAATTTCTCTGCACACAATTCAAAAGCGTAAATTTCCGCTTCAAATACAGTCGCATAGGTTTCTAGGCAGGTACATATACCTATAAATGTTGCTTGAATTTTTAAAAACCATAAAATAAGCTGAAGATTATTACCACCACTAGAATCATTCTTTTAGGTTTTTTGCATTTCGAGNAAATGGTACTAATTCAACAACAATGACTCACAGAACACCCGCATTTGAAAAATCGCCAATTTATGCTGGGGTAAAAATATATAATCAACTCCCTCATCTAATAACGACCAGTAATACTCTAAAATTCAAATTATCACTTATTTCTCAGTTGCCTACAGTTCGAGTAATTTTTCTTCTTTTTTGTCTGAGTGTTGTTGAAAACAGAGGTAAGGCTGTCGTTTCAATTTCATTTCAAGTTCACTAAAGAAGCGGTGCCTGTGTGACGGTAGCGATTCGCGTTGAATTTGAATGGCTGGAGATAAAATTCATATTTCCTTGTCACTAACCTTAGACGATGTTAGAATATTTTCGTTATAATTGTCTAGACTATTCATAAAACTGTCGCTTCCTTGGGAAGTAAGGCACCGCGGCAAAATAAATAAGAAGAAGAAGAGAAACGTTGGGTCGCCCGCCCGGCCGGCCATGCTGCCTAACTGACAGCCCGGCAAATACACTAAGCTCGTCTGTTTGCTGAGCACTCGAAATCCTATGACAATACAGTAGCTGACGAACGTGCAGGGCCCCCTTCGTATAACAACCGTGGTTGGGAGCCGAGTCGAAAGCAAATAGACGGAATGTGTAATTACTTACCAGTAATGACATATTGTGTATCGAATAAACGATCTATTTAT